TGGGGTCATTTCATAAGAGAGTAAAGAACCAACTAGCTCTTTTAGCTTAAAGTTGTTAAGATTTCTAACTTCCTTTATAGTTGTGTCTTTAAGTCTTCATGATTTTGGTAAGCTATAAAGTATTTTCTTTACTAGCCAAGTGTTAAGAAGTCTTTTTCTAATGCCTTTAAATCTCTTATAATTTTTGTGAATGTTTATCAAACATTTTATTTATAGATTCAATTTCTTCAATCTTGAAAAGCTTATAGCCATGTTGAAGCAATCCAATCTTGAATTCTTTAGCTTGATTTGTTCTCTCGTATGTAGTCTTTAAGGTATCCAAAATTTACTTGGCATTTTCACACATAAATACTTTGCTGAACTTATTAAATCCTAAGGCACAAAAAAGAGTCTTGTATGCCTAGCAATTGATTTGAATCAATTTTTTGTCTTTGTCATCCCATTCTCTTTTAGTCTTAATAACTCTTTTGCTATCTATTTCCTTATAAAGGACATATGGACCATTTAATATCACCTTCCAAACCTCTATATCCATTGATTGTATAAACATCTCCATCATCTATTTCCAATAGGGATAATTCGTAAATACAAAGAAAATTGGTCTTTCAATTGATTACCCTTCATAGAGCACAGTTGCTGTAACTTTCATTTTTTTACAATTTGAGCTTCTACAATGGATCACTCAAGGCTATTAGACTTGTAAAATTGAGCCTTAGCTTTGATACCAGTAGTTACTGTAGTAAGCTCAAAATGCAATAAATACCGAGAGTGTGAATTGGCATTTAAATATTTTCTTTGCAAACCTAGCGTAAAAATCAAACCTTTTTCAAAAAAATTTTCTGCTTATGTCTCAAAGAAAGCAAGTGATTTTCTCAAACAATTTTCAGCAATAAATCATAAAGCAAAAATATAAATCAAGACACAGGAATTTTATAAGGGTTTGGCTTTCTTAAATGCCTACATCTTTTCCCTTAGCTCACCAAGGAGTTTTGAATCCACTAAAGAAAATGTGCTTTTTAAACAGGATCAAGCATTAAACCCTTAACAAATGCGTTTTCATGGGATCGAGCAATAACCTTCACAATGATTTTTAATGAGCTCAACTACAAACCATCACAATGGGTTTTAACAAGCTCAACCACAAATCGTTCCTAACTTTTCAAAGATGAGTTAGAACCTTTACAAGTGTGTATATAAAGGAGTAATAGCAATAAATGCCTCTCAAAGGCTAGTAAGCTAGTGTTTAAGCTTAGGCACAATGAATACAAGAATATTAGCTTAACTATAGCAATAAATGGCTTTAAATGCTTAAGGAAGACTAATATTTGAGTGTAAAAAATGAATAATGGACGTTAAGCTTTTCTCTAAGGTTTTTGTGCTTTTTTTCTTTTGTCTTCTCTCTTTTCTATCTTTCTTCAAAATGAGTCCAAGCCGTCTATTTATAGTCACTAGAAGATTTAGAGCCGTTAAACACAAGTTTGAAATAAATCTAGCCGTTGCTGAGTCTTTAAGGCTTATTATAAAGCTTCTAGGGTCTATTATGTTATTCAAAATTTCAAATTAGGGCTTCTATAATTGAATATAAGTGTCCTCTAGTTGATCCACTTCCAAAAAGTTTTAATTTTGAGATCATAACTTGGAAGGTCGACTCAAGCTTCCAAAAATCCTTATTCTTTCATGTTTTCTACCTCAAGGTTAACTACGCTCTTTATAGGGTCAACGAGGCCTTTCAAAATTCTTTAATTTCTCATCCTCTTGACCTCAAGGTCAACTATGGTTGTTCTAAGGTCAATTACAGATTTGGAATCTTCATGTTTCTTGACCTCTTTGCATGTGTAGTCTATTATATCTTCCTTGTGGTTGAATATTAAGTTGAGAAATACTTGCTCTTTGTTTCTTTCAGCCAAAAATTGAAAGTTTAAAGGTTTTGTAATATTTTCTAAGTATGAATGGATTTTCAAACACGTTGCATGACTTTAGGAGTTTTAAAATTTGTATTCAATCATTTCAAATGCTTGTAAACAAGTCTAAAATATCATGCAATTTTGTCAAATCAAAACATAATTTCAAGGCTAACACTTCCAACATTCAACGTAGTATAATCAGAAATACATGTAAGACTCTCAACCCGTACCAATATTCTACCATAGTCCAACCTAGACACGTTCAAGGTACTTTCATCAACTTTCACAAATTCACCCCAAGAATCACCAAAACCCTTAAAAAGGTTCAAATGCCAAACCTATAAAGAAATTTATTCTAGTTTAACCCAACACCAAAATTCCTTATGAACCTTTTTGTAATCGTATAGAACCAAATTTACTCGCCATTGATTAAAGCATTCAACGTAATCCTCCAATAATATCTCCATTTCCATTTGGTCATAAAATGTTAATAAGACCTTGAGACCACCTGTTGGCCTGGCTAACAATTCCACTCCATTAGTTGTCAACCCTTTCTTGATCTCATTAATAGTATAACCCTCATGAATTGTACCAATAGCGTTCTAATCAAGCCATACTTTATTAGTTTTCAAGATATACAGATTCTTACCAACGTTTACAGAATTGCTAATAGGATGGCTAGTCTTCTCCATCAACACGTTAAGCGGAACTGGCAAACGTTTAGTCTTGTTTTTCCCTATCAAGGCATTTTTAAAAGATTTTCCCATATATGTTAAGGAAGAAGATATGTTACTTGGAACATTGGACTTAACCATTTCTTCCCTTCTCCCCACCTTGACCAATAATTTCTTCTTGCAAGAATCATACCATTACCATATCTGATTGCTAGATTAGACTCCCTTGCCTTTCTATATATGACATTTTGCATTGCCTTTCTATATCTGACAAATTCGAAATTTGCAACCCTATGTCTCTTCCTACGCAATACAAAGACATTCACCACCGCACCAAATCAATCAAAATCTTCTTTAATTACTGCCCACAATAAACCTATCTTCATATTATCCACAAATATAATATACAGAGATTTCCTCCATCATTCTAGTTTAGATTGACCAACTATCCTAGTGCCCTGAAACCCTCATCGACATTGATCCATAGCTGTTCCTCCTCTTCCATGCCTACTTGTAAAAGAGCTCTCAACTCTCTCTCTTTCTCTAATTTTCTTTACTGTTTAAACCATGCTTAGCTTTGCCATATTAAAGTATTTTAAAGAGGTGTATTTACTCACCTGTTTGAAACGTATCCAACCTTTTGTTGACTTTCTTAGCTTTGCCATATTAAAGTATTTTAAAGAGGTGTATTTACTCACCTGTTTGAAACGTATCCAACCTTTTGTTGACTTTTGACGAGTACTTGGCTTCTCTAAAATACATATTCATGACTTCTATTGAACAAGACTAATTACATTCATGAACTTGTTTTGGTTAAATAAATACATAGAATAATGATATATTGTAATTCAGTAATTAGGTAATATTCGTTTAATCACATACACAATACATGTTTTAAGTTCAATGTTGTAAAAAAAAATAAAGAATACTTTTGATAAATTAATTTTTTATTAATTAATGTACAAATTAATAAATTATTAAGTTGTCAATTAAATAATAACTTGATTAATTAATAAATTTTTATTTTCATAAGGATATTACTTTATAGAGATTTTACTATAATTGTAAAAATTAAATCTTTATATTATTCGAAATGGACAATGCTAGTCTAATCATTAACGGCATTTTTTTATTATTGTTATCGAATTGACATGTTATTTGCATGTACTATCATGGCACTAAATCTGATGATGTAGCATCCAAAAATGATGTCTCTTGATTGTCCCTCAAACTAACATTGTAATTTGATTGGAAAATCAATTATCCCCTTCTGAAATCACTCAAGAAAGTGAAAATGGATATCCTTCAAAATAAAAAAATATGATATAGTGATTAACGTTGATTCACCAAAATTGATTCTAGATATTGCAAATTAGGTTTAAAAGTTAAAACTACATTTGCATAATTATTACATCATTTTTGTATGTTATGTTATCATCGCCACGTCAGTACAATCAAATGCTATGTTAGAAAAAAATTTTAACACCATTAATGATTAGATTTCAATTTTGGAAAATATAATGACTCAACTTTTATAAATTATTATACAAGGATTCAATCCACTACCTTGACAGAATATAAGAACTAATTATATAATTTGACCAATATTTTTTTTCTTTTGATAGGAAAGCATAATACGATGTTAGAAATACAAAATTCAATATATGTTATCTATATATATATATATATATATAATTCATTTTTACAATTCAATTTTATTGACACAGAAATTTTTATCACTATACCAGAAAAGTTTTGATGTAGTACTGAGTATTAAATTGGCATCTCTAATGAATATATATATGATCATATATCGATTAAAATTCTCATATCATAGTATGAATTTTTAGAATTGGAATTTTCTCATTTAATCTCATGGGGGTCACTAACTCATCCTGACTTTCCCTTGGTACTCATAGCAAATGATTAGCACATGCAAAATATCTGAAAAGCATAAGCAACGAGATATCATATCCATCCACAACAAAATGTAACTGACATCGGAAATTTGTATCTCCTCATTGGCAGGCCAGTCCTCTTTTCTCATTTTCTAAGAGGCTTGAGCACTTATACTTGGTAAATGATGGTATTGGCAATTCCATTCCCCCCTATTCCTTAATAGTCTTTTAGACTTTGTTTGGTTCAAGGAATGGGCATTCCATGGAAAATTTCTGCTATTGTCCTATAATTCACCTAATGTCAAGATGACAACACCAGTGTACTTTGGAAGTGAACTTAGAAGACATGGACAAAGTTAGATTAGACCTTTATACACATTTAATATTGCTGCTTCGATCTTTTTAATATTTGGCATCAACCGGGAGTATTTTAGCTCAACTGAAATGATTTTTGACAATTTTTGCCATATGCTTAAACATCTTTAAACATTATTTAGGTAGAAGATACAATTTTAGTCATAAATTTACCTTGTAATAGAACTAACAGCAAGAAGCCAGACAAGTAAATTAACTGCAAAAATGGTGATTAAGCAGGTAATCTTCAGGGTGCCTGAAAAATGAGTTGAACATGTCTAACGATCTCCATATATGCCTATGTGGTGGCAGGAGCAATGCCTGTTATAATTGAACTTAAAATAAAGCAGAGGCAATCATATAACCTTGTCAACATTCCTCCATGACTTGCATTAACGAGCGTAAGAATGTAAACCCCGACAACCTGCCAGAGGGACACGGACAGCGAAAGTAAGAAACAGCGACCTTCTGAGTTAAGTTCAAAGATAAAAGGAAATATAATTGACAAATAAACATTATATCTCCTAAAGGTTAAATATTATGGTGAAGATTTCTAAGATCACTGACAGCATCCAGAGTCCTAACACATCCAATCCTGTTGCTTCAGCATGAGAAGGTTCGATGTATTATATATACACAGAGGTCAGGGAGAGAAAATCTGGCATTGTATCAAGATACTGGAGATCTGATGAATGGCTTGTTGTGGTCTCCTAAAACTTTTGCTTACAAACACCCAGACTCACCTGAAAACGGCAAATGGATTGTCTAAACGAGTAAACTTGTCACAGAACAGAAATGACATATTACACTCAGCAAACTGACATATCACCAAAAGTCACCACAAGAGCAACAGCCATTTCTAAAATGGTGAAATCTGTTTATATCCCTAACAATGATTTCCCTCTGTGTAATGCTAGATGCATGCTGCATAAAAGAATGGCAATCCCCACATATCCTGAGATTCTTCATAATTCGTATTGGGGCAGTTGGAGGTAGGCAAAGCAGCCCAAAAGTAAGCGCCAGTTTCTCACTGTGGTGCTTTAAATGTTCTTGCTTTCTACCCTCCTCCACGTCATGGAGGTCATGCTCAGTTTCAACTTTATAACCAAGGATCTTCATCTCTTCCATCAAACTATCTAACTTGGAATAAATTTCAGCAATTCTGGGGTGATTTATCTCTCCAACCATAAACTTATGGATCTTGTCCCTGATTGCAATCCAGCTCTTACCTCTTTCTTTTTTCACCATACTTTCTTTAAGAAATTTCCTTGCTCTTGCAACTTCCTCCCATTTTTTATTAGCAGCATATATATTTGAGAGCAAAATATGGTTTCCAGCATTGTCTGGTTCCATCTCAAATAAATGCTTAGCTGCAACCTCAGCTAATTCAAGATTGCCGTGGAACCTACAACAGGCCAAAAGTGAACCCCACATAGAAGCAGTGGCATCAAAGGGCATCCTTTCTATTAAATCGTAAGCTTCAGAAATCTTTCCTGCTCGACCAAGAATATCAACCATGCATGAATAGTGAATGACATTAGCTGACACATTTTGCTCTGTTATCATGAGGTCAAAGTATCTCTTTGCTTCATCAACCAAGCCCATATGACTACATGCGAATAAAAGAGAAATATATGTCACTTCATTAGGGTAGAGACCTACCTGCTGCATTTTCTCAAATGAAATCATTGCCTCCAAGGCACGAGCATGTTTAGCAAAGCCAGAAATCATTGTGTTCCAAGAAACAACACTTTTCTCTTCTATACCAGTAAACACAGTGTAAGCCTCTTCCACACTGCCACATTTAGCATACATATCTATAAGAGAGGAAGCCACAAATATGTTTGAACCAAATCCCGTTTTAGATATAATAGCATGCACCTGTTTTCCTTCGATCAAAGCAGCTAGACCTGCACAAGCACATATAATGGAAGAGAACATAAACTGATCATGCTCCAGTTCCATTATTTGAGCTCTATGAAACAACAATAAAGCCTCCTCAAAAAGCTCATTCTGAACGTACCCTGCCATCAAGCAACTCCATGTAACAACACTCCTCTCTTGCATGCTCTCAAAAACCCAGCTAGCATCCTTTACCAAACCAGACTTTGCGTAAACATCAACTAATGCAGTTCCCACGAACATGTTTGAATCAATGGCAGTCTTTACAGCAAAACCATGCAGCTGTTTGCACTCAAAAACGGCACAATTTGCAACACAAGCACAAAGAACGCTTGAAATTGTGAATTCACTAAACGGGTTTCCTTCTTTTTGCATGAACTTGAAAAGAGTTAACGCTTCTTGAGCCTGCCCACGCTGGGCATATGAACCAATCAGCGTATTCCAGGAAACCAGGCTTCGTTCTGGCATTTCATCAAACACTTTGCGGGCGCAGGACAAAAGACTAGATTTGCAATATATATTAATGAGAATGTTGGATGTTATAGTGTCTGCTTGCAACCCAAAATGGATTGTCTGCGCATGGCATGCTTTCCCAGGGATGGCTGCTCTGTTTCTTGCACATAACTGCATAACGGTATGCAAATATGATACCTGGGTATAACACATTTTTCTCCATGAAAGGTCCTCCGGAGTTGGTGTCTCAAGTTCAGCAGCAGCAGCAGCAGAAACTACTCCCCGGGTAGAAAAGCTGTTAGATGGGAGAGTATTAGTATAGACATGGTAGAGATTCCTCCTGTACCTATACGAGGTGTTCATCTAACTGTTTACAGTATGTTCATGGTAAGAAAAGTAAGAAAAATTTTCACTTGGATTGGCTCCTGAGTTATGAACTGGTTATGACTGCTCACTTGGAGCATTTTTGCTAGGTTTGCATCAATTTTCTATACAGGGCTTTTGCCAATTGGAGTTTATTTAGCAACAGTGCTCTTGAAAGATAAATTTAGTTAAATGGCAAAATCATCATCCTCCCTTGTGCCAAGAAACAAAAAGAAAAACCCTGAAATTTGCTCTTGGGATCAGTCTTTTAGTGTTCAAAACCATGAGTGTAGGAACTCCAGATGGCTTGTAACATGAATGGTGGATTTGAACTTGATGATGAAATCATAATTTAGTGTTCAAATGATTATTGTATTAAATGTATAATAATAGTTGACTCTTTAGAGGCCAAGACCAATAGTAATAATGAAAAGAAGCGCAATGTTCTACTTCTCTTTCATTTGGTAACAAACGGTGGAAAAATTGAAATTTTGTCTCTATGGATGTTGTGGTAGTCTGTTTTAAATTGTAACCAACTTTCTTGGCATCAGGTCATTAAAAGATAAAATGGTTTTGGGATTAGGAAGTATGTAAAGATTTCTCTTTACTTTATAAATATGATTTTTAAGTTGAAAATATAAATTCGTGATAACTGATATTTGAATCAATTCATTTTTTACTAATATGAATCTCTATGAAAAATAATTATTAAGATAAATGAAAATCAAAGTAGATCTCTCTATTTTATGGGTGAAAGAACCCTTGCAATGAGAGTATTGCACAATTGAAAGAGAATGCGTATTATAAATTCCACATCAGTAAAATATAAAATGAATGTTGCTCAAGTAAGCATCTCCCCTCACCAGATAAGCGTATCTTTAAAAGTTGAAAATGTAGATTTATAATAAATTTTCATAAGAAATTTTTTGAGATTAGTATTTATTTTTTATGCTAATAAATGCGCGTGTGTGTGTGTGTGTGTGTATATATATATATATTAAGTCTTGTTATATCAATGGGGTTGGATTTAAAAACAATAAACACAAAAATAACATAACAAAGCTTCAACCAAAAACCAATATTAAGGTTGAAGAACACAATAAAACAAGCAGTAAAGGAGATATTTAGTCTTCAACTTATTAAATGATATAATTCTTAAATAATCACTTGAATTATTTTTTAAAAAAAATTAAAATTTTTTTATCTTTTATTAAGTTTTTATATTTTTATTTTAGATCAAGAAAGAACAATTTACCATTTCAAGTATCAAATATTCCATAATTAGACTTATTAATTAAAACGTGAAATGTAATCTTATCATAGTCTTCCCTAATTAACAAGATAGAGGTTTTGTCTTACCTCAAATATTTCATAAAAATTGTCTATTTTACTTTATTCATGTTATTCCCTTATACCATGTATTTCCCCCAAACTCATTAGCGATATAGTTGAATTACTATTAATAGTGTGTACTTTAATATTTCCTTTTCAAATGTGATAAAAGTTGAATGTTAAAAACTAAATGATCAAGTCTCAATTCTCAACATCTAATTTGAAGTTTTATCATATAAAAAATAAAAATATTAACAAAATAAAAGTTCACAAATAATTGTAAAACCTATAAAGAAAAAAGTGATAGAAACAAGAGAAGAAATATCATCACACTACAATTCAATAAAAAATAAAAAATAATAATAAACCAAGCAAGATACATCTTATAGACCCAACAGAAAAGATAATCTAAGGCCTAAAGGCCCAAAAAGGAAAAGAAAATCTCTTTAATAAAACTGTACAAACAGTTGATTCAATCAAATTTGATATGAAAGATCAAAATTCGAAGAAATCAAATTTCTCTATAAAAGTGATTGAAATGATTGAAATTTTCGAACAAGTCGAATAGATCGAAAACTAAATAAATTTGATCAGTTTGGTCTATTATCTTAAAATTTAAAAATTTAAAATTACTTATAATTTATAAAATTGAATAATCTAAGTATTATATATAACAGTTAACATCTAAACAAAACATATAATCCAACCTAAAGAGAATAAATTAATCATTCAACAAACATTTTCAAAGAAATCCAATAACATTCTTCCAATAATTTTCTTCAAAAACAACCAACTTCAACAATATACATATATATATATATATATATATATAATAAGGGCAAATTCAAGCCAAAACCCTTAATATTCTTCCAAGTCAAAGATGGACCTTTTCAGCTCCTCACATGGACCGATGTTAAATACGATAAAATTGTAATTAGAATAAATTTTTGGTTAGAAAAAACTAAATATTCTTTATATGTAATTATGCAAAATTTGTAATAACTAACCCTAAACCCACAAAGTGAATAACACACCTTTGACCTATTCACTCATCAATTATAGGATCCAATAAAATCTTTGACAAATCTAAAATACATAAACAAGAGAAAGAAAAAGTAAGCTTACAACAAAGAACTAAAAGAGATAAAGAAATAAGAATTGAAGAAAGAAAAAATTAAATGATCAATAAAATAATTACCTAAATCAACTTTCTCAAGCTCTCCCAAATCATACACAATGTCATTAAGATTGAAAAATGAAGATTCACATAGTCAATTTTAAACAAAAATAAAGGGCTTGCACAAGCTAAGAAGGCAATATGCATCAAGCACATGTCCATCAGTGCTAAAAGTGAATTCATAAGCAACTTTAGGTGTGGGAACTGCTAATATATCACAAGCTAATTTAGCCAAGATAGTATACCTTTAATTGTTGAGTTTCCATCAAATCAAAACATGAAAGTTATAAATAATGACAACATCATGCTCACTTAAATACTTATCCAACTTTGTTTTTCACTCTTCTTTACTAATTTTAATCTTATACCTCTTAGGTAATAGTGTACATGATATACTTAACACAAACATCCATACATGTTACAATCTCATAAATGGAATTTATGCATCCAATATTCTTTTCATGCTACATCGTATCTAACATGTGCATGATAACATTCATTCATTAACCATAGAAATATCTCATATTTGCATACATAGTAGATACATAAACAATTTGAAAATTATTTTCTCACACATATCACAATCATTATCAAATCAAGTCATTTGAGCATTTGCTTGAAAACTTCATAAAACCTTGTAGTTCAAATCCCTTAATAAACCATTTATGGAAATAATTTTTAAACATGCTTAAACAGCCATTTCCATAAAATCATGCAAACTTTACATATTAAAATACTTGGAAAGGTGTATCCACTCACTTAATTGGAGAGTCGATTCTTAGCGCCAATCACAACTCTGTTTCAATGATATTCATGGAGTTTTCAGGTGTTCCTATCATTCAACAATTATCACAATCATTTCCTAGAATAAAAATCTTGTAATAATCATATTAGAAACTTTTGAAACTACTCGTTTTTAGCTAAACTAATTTTTTAGCTAAAACCTATGCTTAGAAACCCATAAATCCTTCATCCTTACCTTAGGTGAGCTTGGATGCTTAAGAAAATCATAAAACCTTTAAACTTCAATCACCAACAAAAAAGTCTAGGCAATAAAATAACTATTTAAGTTCTAGAAATTTAAGATCAAAAGATTTAAAAGCTAAAAATGTCATCTTTTTTCATAAAAACCAAAAACTAAGCTTTAAAATCATAAAAATGGAGTCTTGGTCTAAAAATGAGTTGGAAGAACTTGAGAGTTGGGGTTTTACCTTGCAAATGTGGCCAAGGGTTGCCAACCCTTGAAAAATAAGGTATATTTATAAGCTAAGGCGTGAAAATACTTTTTTACCTCATTTCTTTTTCTGAAATTAACGAAATGTATCTATTTGTTGGCCCATGTATCGATACATTAAGTTTTGGAGAAAATGCATTGATATATTATGAACACATATCAATACATGTTCATCAAAAACCATAAATGTATTGATATATCATGAACATGTATTCAAACATTTGAGACAGAATGCAGTTTTTGAGGTAGATTGCCTATAAAACTTGCCTAGTTTATTTACATTAAATGCCATTTAAGTAAATGTTCTCTTTACTTTTTACTCTCCATTTACTTAAGATATTTAATGTAAATAAGCAAACAACCCCTCACTTGGATTCAATAAAAATAAAAAAAAATCAAAATCCAAAACAATCAAAATCTAAATTTTGGTTTCAAGAGCAAATTCGAAAAAGTTTGACTAAAATTAATTTGCAACTCCCATTTACCATAGCCAATGTACACCAAAAATTATAGAAAAATCATTTTTGTTTATCTAAAAATCAAGGGAATCATTATCATCATTTTTTATTTCCAAAAGATTGTTCTATAAAAGTCACATATTTTGACCCCTCTCAAACTTAGAAAATTTTTTGCTTCAAAAGTGACAGACAACCAAAAGTGTCAATGAATTCTTTTGAAGGGTAAAACTAAGTTTTATAGTCAAAATATGTAATCTACATGCTCACCTAAGGATTTCCTAACTTATCCTCTTCCTCAATGTGGAGTTCACACCTAGTCAAGCACGTTATTGTTATGAAACAAAAAAAGACAAAATAACGTGTGAGTCATGAAAACTCCGTGAATGAATATCAGGAAAGGGACAAACCAAAAGGAAGAGCTTTTCAATAAATCATAAGTTGCAAAACAACATAATAATCATATAAATCTTTTCAATAGTGATAAATGCATTTGATTACTCTAAAATACATCGATAAATATAATAACCATATGCAAGTTCAACTTACAAAACACTTGCAAGGAGATAACGAAAGGTAATCCCAAAACCTTTAAGCTCAACATCAAACATTCAAATCAAGAATGCACTATTTTTTTAACAATTCATCTCATCATTTCCAAATAGACACAATTATCATCAATTACCAATCATAAGCATCATAATATCCATATACTAATAACACATTAGTACATGCCATTAGCAAATTAAGGGGATAATGGGAGCTTTCATCTAACTCATCCCAATGGTATTCTTACCCCAATATCGGGATTCATAAGAAGGGAAAAGTGATATGATACCCAACTTAACCATGTGGTATTCTTACTTTTACACCAAGATTTATAAAGAGGAGAAAAGTGGTATTATGCCCAATTTAACCCTATAGTATTCTTACCCCCACATCGAGACTAAAGCCAACAAAAAGGGGAAAAGGTAGCACATTGGCCAAGCTTAATCTTGTGGTATTCTTACCATTACATTATTTAAGACTACCTCTTCCAATAAATTATAAGCATCTACAACATTCATACCCATTAATGCTCCACTAACACCAGCATCAATTGTGGTTTTTATTGAATCAACCAGCCTATTGTAGAATCTTTGAACT